TGCGGTGGTCAGGCAGAGCTTGCCATACCCGGACAGATCTTAGTCCAGTTAAGATGGAAGCATGCCCAGCGTGGGGGAGAGTGAGCCCTCTTGGGGAAACCCTGCTTGGAGAATCTGCAGGCCCATGGCTCAAGAAAGGACTGTAATGTTTAACTTGTTAACTTTATTTCTTTATTTTTCTGCTTTTATACTGAGAAGACTGTAATCCTGAACTTTTTAACTCATTTCTTCATTTATTTACTTCTGGAACTAAGATTTTGAACCCAGGTATTTCATACCTAAAATGGTACCATGTGTGACGACATAATATACTTTTCACTGTACTGTTGTACCCTGTACTTGAGTACATGTGACAAGAAAACCCAAATATAAATTTAAATCTAAAAGTAATCTTCTAAGAATCATTACATTCTGGAACAGCCCCAAATTATCGGAAAACTGACAATGTGACAACTTTATTTAACAGGGAAAGAGATAAAAACAGGTAACTGTAGGCCAGTTAGCTCAACAATTGCTATTGGGAAAATGTTACAGAATACTACAAAGGATGTAATGACAGATCACTTTGAAATACATATCATGATCAAGAGAATCAGCATAGCTTCATGAAAGGGAAATCACGCCCGACAAATTTATTAGATTTCTTTGAGGAGATGACAAGCAGTATAGATAAAGGAGAAGCAGTGGCTGTAATATATTTGGTTTTTGAGAAACTGTTTAGTAAGGTACCTTATGTTAGACTGCTTAATAAGTTAAGAGCCCATTGTGTTGGAGGTAGTACATCAACATGGACAGAGGATTGGCTAACTAATAGAAGACAGTTGGGATAAGGGGGGCATTTTGAGGATGGCAACCAATAACTAGTGGAGTGCCACTGGAATCAGTGTTGAAACCATACTTATTTATAATATATATGTTAATGACTTGGATGAGGAAAATGAATGTACAATACTCATGTTTGTGGATGAAACAAAAATAGAATAGAATAGAATATCCTTTGGCAAGTAATAAGAATGATAAATGGAGTCTACAGCGAGATATAGACAGGTTAAGTGCATGGACAAAAACTTGTCAATTGGAACATAATATGGGTAAAGGTGAGGTTATACACTTTGGCAGGAATAATAGAGGACGTGAACTTTTTTTTAAGTGGAAAGAGATTTCAGAAAGCTACAGCAAAGAGGGATTTGGGAGTGCTCATTCATAAATCACTAAAAGCTAATATACAAGTTCAACAAGTGATAGGGAAGGCAAATAGAATGTTGGTTTTATACAAAAGGAAGGGGAATATAAAATAGGAAAGTCTATGCAGCAAAGTCAAGAAAGTGGAGTTGAGGATAATCGGATCAGCCATGATATCATTGAATGGAGAAGCAGACTCAATAGGCTGAAAAGTCTACTTCTCCTCTTACATCTTATAGTCTTGTGATCTTAATATTAAGAAAGTTATCCCTGGAATCCAGGCCATCTTAACCAACATGATAAAAACAGTTATTATGTTGTTGTTGGTCAGAGCTTGTCTTCTGATTGGCTGCTATGATCCTTCATAGCAATGTTACCCACATTTCACTAAATTGGCTGTAATGCACTTTGGAGCATTTTCTGGTCATGGAAGTGCTGAATGCAAAAGCTCCTTTCATCACTGGCCAACCCGAATAGGATCTATTCAAAATTTCTGGTGAGGATCCTGCTTTGGAAGGAAGCAGCCATGTAGAGTGGGGCTTGCTGTTGGAGCTGTGTCGTCATGGACATCATTGGAGTCATGAAGATCTAATGAATAGACAGGTGTAGGTTATTATGTAGGAGCAAATAATCAGAACAGAGGGGCTCTTGTGGTACAGTGGTTGTATCCCTACCTCTGAGGCAGGAGCATTGGATTCAACTCCCAATTGCTCTAATAGTGTGTAATATTATTTCTGAATAGGTTAATTAGAAACTATCCAATCAGCACAGACTTGGAATCTTGTGGTAAAGAAGTAGTGTTCCTATCTCTGAGCTAGGAGGCTTGGGTTCAAGTTCCAACTGCTCCAGAGCTGTGTGGCAACAGGTCTGAGCAGATTGATTAGGAAATAACCAAAGAGAAGATTTGGCTGTTATTTTTTCTGTCTTCTGTTTTGTAATCTGAGTTTCTGGAGAAACCCAGTCCAAATGTCCCAAATCCCACTACAATTTGCTGATCAGATGTGAGATTAATGCAACACACTTGCTATTCCTGTCCATTTAAGTATTTAAATGAGGCATGGCTTTAGCATAAGATTCTCTGCATTTGTTTATTCCTTCTTTTTTGAGGCTGCATTCAGGCAAACCATTCTCCATTGAGAGGTACTGATTTAACCAGTTGTAATTGATTACTTCTGTCACAACTTGCACACTTTGCTCCTGGGGCCTTGAATTTTTTTTCCGTAAATGCCACTCCTGGCTGCTTAATTTGATGCTTTGGTGAAGCAGACAGTTGAATTAAAAGCGGAATATTAATTGGCTTATCTGAAGATTTGAGTGAGCACTTAGTGTTGCTGATACAGGGGAAAAAGATAAAACTCCTGTCGCCAACTGCCAGGAAGACAAGCTGAGGCTGGCCAGCTGCTGAGTCTCTTTCAGGAATCTGATAAGGGCCTTCATCTCTTTGCCTGGTTGTTTTCATTCTGCAATATATCTATCGGTCACTGGTTTGATTGTTGATAATGTATCACCGTGGTCTTGATGAGCTCTTATTTGCTTAACCTTAAATCACTTGTGAAAGCAAAGTCAAACTCTTTGAACTTCTTTTGCTTAATGACCATTTTGCAGTGGTTACATTTTACTGTGCTTAAACAAGTGCTGTTAAAATCTGTTCTCAAACATTCAAACAGATATTGAGCAATTTGAGTGTGATGAGATCAAGGTGATATTAAATGACCCAGGGCTGTCTTGATGTACCTTCACAGAATAAGTAATACATTACATGGAAATACCCTCATATGTCTTTAAAATCTCCTTGATTGCCTCTGGTTTTATTTACAATTTAGTGTGATAGGTTTTATTACTCAGAATGCTCTGCCATTGCATTAATTCCTGCACATACTCAATGTTCTCCTTGTGATTTTTGATGATGCAATTTGAATGGTTGACTCTGACTTGGAGCCTTGGACTGATCAAAACTAGACACATCTCTCTTAGGTGATACAGGGAGTTTTAGACAACAGAAAGGATTTTTGTAAGGAACTTTTGAGGGTTAGAGAAGAGCTTTCCATGAAAATAGTAACCATTTTTTCTCTGATGCCTGCTGTTTTCTCTGCTCTCTGGACTGGCAAATGAATGGGTCGCACAAAAATCTCCCTGAATGACCTTCCTACCACACTACCGATGAAATGAAATATCATACAGCTACTTCACACAAACTAGTTTTATACCGTTACACACAACCGCTCTAGGTTGTGGTCTTGAACTCCCTACTTTAACATTTTGCTTTTTAAATGTTGTCTCTATAGGCTCAACCACCTTACACATTCACCAACGACTGGCAGTAGGAAGCAGTCTCCTCATGCGTTGTACCAGTGCCTCTTTTTAATGCAGCTGTTGGCAGAAGGTGGGTAATAATTGCTGTCATGACGAGGCCTCGTACATTTTCAATTTCCATCGCACCAACATGGGCCATGATCTTTCAGCACAGGCCTCAGCTCTGAGATTCTTTCCCGAAGTCTCACCACCTAGCTACCTTTCTGTCATAGAGTCATAGACATCTACATGACAGGAAAAGGCCCTTCTATCCATCGAGATTGTGCCAGTCAAAAACAAGCACCTAACAAATCGAATCCCATTTTCCAGCACCTGGTCAATAACCTACTGAGCTTTGGCATCGCAAGTACATATCTAAATGCTTCTTAAATGTTATGAGGGTTTCTGCCTCTACCAGCCTTACAGGCAGTGAGTTCCAGATCCCCACCACCCTCTGAGTGAAAAACTTTTTCTTCACATCCACTCTAAACCTGATGCCCCTTACCTTTAATCTATGTTACCTGGTCATTGATCCCTCTATCAAGGGGAAAGGTTATTTGTTGTCTACCCTATTTATGCCTCTTATATTTTATACATTTTGATGTGCCATTAAGACATTGCTGAAAAACTGACCAGGCTTTTGACCACCTGATGTGAATTGTCAGATATTGAAGTTGTAAACTTGCTCGCTGAGCCAATGTGTTTGTTTGCAGATGTTTCATCACCCTCCTAGGTAACATCGTCAGTGTGCCTCCGGTAAAGTGTTGGTGTTCTGTCCCGCTTGTTAGTTATATGCCTCGGTTTGCTGGGTGGTTGGTATTACTTCCAGTTTTGTTCTTCAGTGGTTTGTAAATCGGATCCAGTTCAATGTGTTTGTTGATGGAGTGCCAGTTGGAATGCCAGGCCTCCAGGAATGATGATTAACCTTTGTCAAAGTCACTTAGGATATCTTTTGTGACTTTGTTAAGAACTGTTTGTGGCAGGGGAGGAAATCCAATTGGAAGAATGCAAACATGGAGTTCTGGGAAAGATGAGTATGGATTTGGGAGATGACAACACATTCAAGCACATTGGAGAGGAAAAAAAGAGATTGCAGATGGCTCGGAAAATCCAGGTCTTCGTTGGAGACATTTCTGGATGCACCACTGAAAAGCTGTTGTACTTGGTGCAAAACCAGCCTGTTTACCTGACTCTAACGATACTGTTGTCCAATCAACCACTTGGAGGACTGCACACTGACTCATTTCTTTTCTTTTTATACCTGTGCAAAATGAATTTGCATCTGCTTGGCATCTTGCCCTTAGCACAAGGTTGTGAACTTATTATGCCAGGAATTACAGGCAGGATCCCAATATTTGCCAACACTATTTTCAAAGCCAACATAGTTTCAGGGTATAATTGAAACAAAATGAGTGATCCTGATGTGGTCATGTGACATTAAAGTTTTGCATGCAGTTCCTGGTTCTGTCTGAGGTTCCATCAGGCAACTTACATCCTCCCACAGAATAGTGCCCACACATTCAAACTGAAATTGTAATTTCATGCAAAGTTTATTTTGTGCCCAAGGCTGTTGCATTTATTTTTATAATTATTTTTTAATGTTGCTTAATGATGGTATCCATTACATTAGAAATTGCACAGCTGGAAATTACGATGTTTCTCTAATAAGTGTAAGTTATCATTACTTAACACATGGTATTATATGTTAAGGTAGAACATATTCCATTTTAACTGTGTTTCAATTTATTGGATGCTCATTGTTATCGATGCAAACAGGTAATCTACTGTACAGGCCGTCCTATGCTCCAATAAATACATGGAGGTGTGATATTACCTAGAACTAGAATTAAACAAAGGTGGAGCCACCTGCAACAACCTCTAACAGAAAGTTGGGAAGATTATTATGGTGAACTTGTAATATTCTATTTTAAGAACGCACTATCTTTATAAATAAATATTGGAAGAGTAATTTTTATGTTTTACACCTATTGATACAGTGATATATATCATGCACCACTGTTTCATAAAAAGGTACTGCATAGATCTTAAGCATGATTTCTTTGGTGATACATGGTTGTTCCTGTGCTTTCCCTCCCCAAGAAAGGGGACTGTTGTGGAGGTGGGCGTGCTGGGGTATGAGGACATCGAAATTGTATAACTGCTAGAAAAGGGCACAAGAGTCAAGATGCATCATTATCAAACACTCTTCCCCCAACTCCTCCATCCATTCAAGCAGCACAGACAGCATTCCATCCTGTCTAATTGCAATGATCATTTCATGCCCCTAATGCTCATTGGCTATATGCATCAGTAGAATCTCAATATTGTTATTTGCCAGTTGTATGTAAAGTTGTCCCGGAGGGAAATGAGTATTCTGGCTGCTGGAGCTGCCAATATCATTCAGAAAAGTGTTATACAGTGAAGAAAAAGAGATTGACCACGGGAGAGTCAGAGATAGTAAGAACTGCTGATGCTGGAGTCGGAAAAAGGGTCCCGACCAGAAACGTTAACTTTCCTACACCTCTGATGCTGCCTGACCTGCTGTGTTCCTCCAGCTCCACACTGTGACCACGGGAGAGGGTTTTGAGATCAGGCAATGGCCACCACTGGCGTCATGTTGTATGATGAATTCTTACTGCTGCTGTTCATGTTGTATGAGTTGTACTCTTGGTCATCATTTAGTTTGGCTTGTACAGAGTTTAATTTATCTAATGTTGTGGGGGAAAACCTCTAGTATCAAATGAGAAAAGGCATTTGTAGTTTATTTCATAATAACAATCAAGTACAAGTTACATTGGTATGATTGACATTGTTACTAAGATTTTGAGAAGACCTAAATGGAAGGTCAATATTCTTTGAGAACCAGATCTCTTCTCCCACCCACAAATCTTATGACATCATCATTTTGGATAAAGCTTAATACATTAACCCTTTCAGAATCAAACACCTTGTACAGCAGACTACTCAAGCAAAAACATTTCCCATTGTCCCACAAGGGATCTTGGTGAAGGAGGTGGAAGGCCTATTGAAACATCCATATCTGACAGCAATTCATTTTTGCTGAAGACTTATCAATGTCCATTAAATCTGAATTTTAAAGGATTGATTTTATCTGAACACCACCAATAAATGATCAAAAACTATTCTAACTTTGAAGAATAAAGTTAGGTCAAACTCTGTGAATTTGGTTTTGGCTAGTATGTCGCAGAATCATAGAAGTCTTAAGGCACACTGGAGGTTATTTGTCCCATTGTGCTTGCACCAGCTCTTTGAAGAGAGCATCATTATTTAAAGCAAATCTGCTTTTCTTCCCTGTATCCTCAAACATTATTTCATCCAAATAATTGTCCAATCCCCTCTTGAATGGCTCAAGTGCCTCCACTATATTTCCAGGCAATGTATTTCACACCATAACCATTTGTTGAGTGTAAAAAGCTTTTATTTCCACCCTTGCTTCTTTTGCAAATCACTTTAAATATATGCCCTCTCATTCTTGTTCATTTTACAAGCAGGAATAGTTTCTCCCTTTCTACTCTATCCATGATTTTGAAAACTCTTCTCTCCGAGGAGAACAGTTCCAGCTTCTCCAATCTATGCTCATAACAGAATCATTCTTGTAAACTGCTTCTGTACTCTCTGCAATGCGTTCACATCCTTCCTGTAATGTGGTACAGAGAGCTCAACACACAGTACACAATAGTCCAAATGAGGTGTGACAAGTATCTTATACAAGTTCAATATTACCTCCTTGCTCTTATAATCTTTCCTTTATTAATAAAGCTGAATTTTTTGCTTGCTTTACTTACTGTTCTCTACACCTGTCCTAACATCTTCAATGATCAATGCACATGTATACCCAGGTCCATCTACTCCTGCACTCCATTTAGAACTGTGTCCTCCATTTTTTATTGTCTTTCAATACCTTCTTACCAAAATACATCACCTCATACTTCTCTCTTTGAACCTCATCTGCCTACTCCATCAAATTGTCTATGTCCTTTTTGAGTTCCACACTATCCTCCTAAGTTTACAAATTCTTCCAAGTTTTGTATCATCTGCAAACATTGAAATTGTCCCCTGTACACCAAGATTTACATCATTAATATACATCAGTTAATTGTTTTCAGTGTGAGTTTTCAGAGCTTGCAGGTCTGCGTGATAAGTGTGGGGTAAGAATACACTAGAACAGTCATGTCAACCTTCACTGTACTTTGACAGTAACTCAGGGGAATGGATTTTACCATACCGTTGTCTATGTGTTGGGAGACAGGGGTGCTGTAAAATGACACAGGAAGGCAGGGGGAAAAGTGCCCATTGCCTTCTCACCACCATACCATTTTGCAGTAGCTGCACCCACAAGCCACTTAAGTGACTCGTGACCAATTAATGGCTAGTTCCTACCACTGCTAGCATTTAATCAGCAGCGAGTAAACTCTTAGAGGGAGATTGACAAGTAAACCCTGGTGGTGTCTCAGTGGACTTAGGACTGGTACTGTCCAGTCTCTTTAGCCCGTGAAGGAGTTTCACTTCTGCACCTGGTAGCACAACTGAGACTGCTAAGCTGCTGGCCTTTCAACTGACCTACAGCTCTTGGGTTGGGTGACTATCCTTAACAGAGTGGCAGCCTCGATAATAACTAATTAGTTAACTGCCCACTGCCGTCCAGTAAATTTACCATGGATTCTACAGACAGCCTGCTGATGAAACCCTCGACATAAAAATAGAATTCTGGCCAGTGAATGCAATAATTTGAAATGTCAAACATGATATTGTGTTCTATCCATGCAAGTACCAATTTTTTAAACTTTTAACCTTCTTGCTTCTGGAGGGCAAAGCCCTTAAGCACACCACTCATATTCCCCACATGAATGCAGGATCATAGTTAATACATGAGCCTTTGCTCACAGAAGCTCTGTTTCCCTCTGTTGTAACAGTTGCTGGCTATTTGGACAATTTAAACTTATGTCTTAATCTTGAGCAAACATTACAAATGACTTTATTTACAGAGCACAACTCAAATAAGCGCTTATTTGTGGCTGGAAAAACCTTCCTACTAAGTTGCTCAGGGTTGTGTCAGCTTTAGGAAAAAAGTACTATTCTCGTGGATTCTCCCACGCCATTTCATACCAGTTCAAGCTAATTCTATCAGATTGAAACAATGTGGAGGGTGGGTAAAAATTTACTCGATGTGAATGGTTCACTGGCTAATCAGTCCCATTGTCTAAATATGCATAATAATGTTTTGAATGAAAAAAATCTTTCAGTTTCGGTGATGTTGTAATGTTGATGTTGTAATCTTTCTGTTATACAAATATTTGATGTTGGTTTGATATATTAAAGATTCTTTTTGGTACATGACATGCCATAACTTGTACTATAAAATACACATTACATTCTTATTTGCTAGTCAAGTATAACTTATGCTAATGCTTATGAAAATATTATTGTATACAATTCTCCTGATTATTTAGCTATCGTCGCTGGAGCAGGTTTACAAAACAAGATGACTATCCAGTTCTTGGTGCACTGTCAAGTTTGCCTACCTCTCAGTGGTTTGTTGTTAGTATTGTTAGTATTTTGACTGTTTTTCATTACATAATATCTTCATTGTCTATATGCTGTTGAATACTGAAGAACTTCACAGATCCTCTTGCCAAAAATACATGACCCTGGATATGATTGATTCCACCCAGGTTTTTGCCTATAGGAACACTCAATATAATGTTTTAAGATCTGGACATCATGTCCCCATCATGGCCATAAATGCATTTGGGTACTAACTGGTTTGTCTAATTTGAAGAAGTACTTGACCTGATCAAATTCATTCAAAATTTCAAAGCTGGCACTTGAAATTTCTTTTCAGTTAGTTTTATTTGCATTGACTCTGGACTGTCAGGGGTATCATGTTACTTTCTAGTTTCCACATTTACTTCCTTCCTTGCTAACTTCTTTGTTTCCTTTATATTTGTCTCCCATTTTTAGCTTGATTCCAACTCCCTACCATTCTTACTCATTTGGAGATGTTGTTGACCTTGACAGCCATCTGACTGGTTGTTCTTGCCTTACAGGGAGGTAATTATTGTGATGCTGTCGAGTTTTCTGCAACAATTTTGATGAAGCGGAAATGCCTGCTAGGTCAGGTTAAGATCAACTACATTGTTGTGGGTCTGGAGTCACATGTAGATGAGAAAGGATATTAATGACTCAACAATGGCTTCACAGTCACCTTTACTGAGACTGGCTTTTAATTCTAGATTGATTGGCTCAATTAATGGTAGAATTTGAACCCATAATCCTAGAATATTAGCCTAGATTTTTTGGATTGCTGGCCCAGTGGTATTGTCTTTACATCACTGTTTCCTAAGCAACCTTCCTGCCAGCACTATGGTGTATAGACACCACATGATTTGCAGCACATTCAGAAAAGCTCACTACCAACTTATTTCTAGGGCAATTAGGAATTGGCAATGCATGATGGCCTATCTAGAGGTGACCACTCTGTGAAAGAATAAATAAATATAACATCATGGTCTGACGTAGTTATGACAGCCTACAACAGAGAAACTGCATTCTTCTTGGAAACTTGATGCTCACATTACTTCAAGTGGGTCTAATTGCAGCACAACTTCTGCATCTTTGTACTCCGGTTCTCTAAATATAAAGACCTGCATTCCATTAGTTTTCTTGATTATTTTTTGCATCTATTAGTGACATTTTAAAGATCTATGCACCTGAATCCCCCCAAAGTCTTTTTGGAAATTCATTGTATTTAACTTCACACCATCTAGAAATGTACCCTGACCTATCCTTTCTTGGTCCAAAATTGATAGCATCAAACTTGCATTGAACTCCATCTGCTACAGTTTTGTCCATTCACATAGTCTGTCAATAGCCCTTTGTAATTTTATGCTATCAACTGAACTGTCTAAAATGCTGCCTAACTTTACGTCATCAGCAAATTTGGATATATGACTTTCTATACCATTTATCCAAGTTGTTAAAAAATAATATGAATAATTAAGGCCCTAACAAAGATCCTTTTGATGTGACTCGAGGAGTTGGAGTATGAACTGCAGACATTGCAGCACACCAGGGGAGGGGAACGTCACCTGAACACTCGTTCTGAGAGGTAGTCACTCAAATTTGATTTGTGATGAGGGAAAGGAGGGCATGACTACAACTGCGGCAGGTATAGGGACCTAGAGATAAGGTTCGAGGAGTATCAGCCCCTGCAATTTTTCAACAGATACAAGGTGCTTGCAGAGGGTGTGGACAAGCGTGGGCACTGCGGGGAGGATGAGTGAACTGATAGGACACTGTGGTATAGAGATCCATTTAAGTTGTCCGAGGAAATTGGAGTAGTAATAGTAATCCTAGAGGACAGTATAATTAGGGTGATAGATGCTGTTCTTTAACACGTCAACATGAGTTCCAAAGGCTATGTTATCTGCCCAGTGCCAAGGATTAAGGACATTGCTTCATGACTGGAGATGAACTTGGAACAGGAGAGTAGGGATCTAGTTGGCGTCATTCACGTTGGCTCTAGACAGGAGGTTTTACTGAAAGAGTGCAAACAGTTAGGTACTAAATTCAAAAGGTGAACCTCTAAGGTAGTAATCTTGTGGTTATACCTGAGCCACAGGTAAACTATCATAGCAAGAATAAAGTCAAGTACGAGGTGCCAGAGGAAGTGGTTGTGGCGGGTACAGTTAACATTTACAAGACATTTGGACAGATACAGGAATAGGAAAGTTATAGAGAGATATGGACCAAACATAGGTAAATGGGACTAGTTCAGTTCAGGTAACCTATTTGGCATGGACGAGTTAGGCCAAAGGACCTACTTCCATGCTATATGATTCTATGACTCTCTTTGCTGATTGTTTGCCACTAAAGTATCACTGCACGTTACTGTTGTTTTGAATGAGTCAAATTAAAATAAATACATGTGTTGCATACAATTCCAAATTACCGACTTCTTAAACACTTCTATCGTACAATATTCCTGATTAAGACATGAAGCTCAAATACACGTCCTTGTTCCATACATTAGAAATCAATTGGTAAAGAGGCAAATTCCTTATGAAACATGAGATAAATATATATTTTATTAATTGCAAGGTTATGGATGCCCTAGCTCCAATGTGTCAAATAGGAGGTATGGTAAGTAAGTTTGAAGATGACACCAAAATTGGAGGTGTAGCAGACAGCAAACAATGTTACCTTAGAGTACAACGGGATCTTGATCAGATCTCCCAATGGGCTGAGGAGTGGCAGATGGAGTTTAATTTGGATAAATGTGAGGTGCTGCATTTCAGAAAGGCGAATCAGAGCAGGACTTAAACACTTTATGGTAAGTTCCTGGGGAGTGCTGCTGAGCAAAGAGACCTTGGAGGGCAGGTTCATAGTTCCTTGAAAGTGGCGTCGCAGGTAGATGGGATAGTGAAGAAGGCATTTGGTATGCTTGCCTTTATTGGTCAGTACATTTAGTATAGTAGTTGGGAGGTTATGTTGCAGCTGTACAGGACATTGGTTAGGCTACTTTTGGAATACTGCAGGCAATTCTCATCTCCCTGCTATAGGAAGGATGTTGTGAAACTCCAAAGGGTTCAGAACAGATTTACAAGGATATTGCCAGGGTTGGAGGGTTTGAGCTACCGGGAGAGGCTGGAGCTATTTTCCCTGAGCATCAGAGGCTGAGGGGTGACCTTATAATGATTTATAAAATCATAAGGGGCATGGATAGTGTGAAAAGCCAGGTCTTTCTCCCAGTGTGAGTGAGTCCAAACTAGAGGGTATAGGTTTAAGGTGAGAGAGGAAGGATTTAAAAAGGACCTAAGGGACAACTTTTTCACGCAGAGGATGGTGCAGGTATGGAATGAGCTGCCAGATGAAGTAGTGGAGGCTGCTACAATTACAACATTTAAAAGGCACCTCAATAGTTACACAAATAGGAAGGGTTTAGAGGGATATGGGCCAAATGCTGGCAAATGGGACTAGATTTATTTAGGATATCTGGATGGCATGGATGAGTTGGACGAAAGGATCTGTTTCTGTGCTGTATATCTCTGTGAGTCTGTGAGTCTATGCTTCGCAGACAGTGCAGACATATGGCCTGTGGTCACAAGTCAGCTTCATGTTGAGAGCGTGCAACCCCTTACAATCAGTAGAGATACCAGATTGGTAATAGGAAACAAGTAAGGCAAATTATGTACAGTCTATGGCACCTTCTATCCAGGGACAGATTGACATGTGAAGGCATGGTGTTTCTTGCATCATTCTCTCTATAAGAAAGGAAATGAGGATGTTTCTCCTATTTTGGAGAGCCTCAGTGACTTCCTTGATACAACGGATAACTGAGAATTGATCACATACTGTAGCCTGAAAGAGATCTGCAGCATAAAGGCTAAAGTTCTCAGGTACGCGGTGTGAAGCTCATGTTGTGAGAGCAGCAAATGGCATCGTTTGCTGGTAGTCTCGTTTGTGCGGCGGAGATACCTCATTCATTGCTCTGGCACATCTGGCACTGGAGCATAACAAATCTGAAAATGATCCTGTAAGAAACACAGGAGGTGATTTGACAAATTTATTTAGTACTGTCCACATTTCTGACATAGAATTCTGAAGTCCACAAGTAACCCCAATTCAATGTGGTGGACAGTGCACCTCTGACTAGAAATGTACATTTGCTTTTGGCTTGTTGTATTTGAGACTTGGATGTCAGTTTAGCAACCAAATAAATAATTGATGCCATCAGATATCTCAGCCTAGATCTTTCAAACCTGTGTTTTTTTTTGATGCTTTATGAAGGTAAAAGCTTTATAATATATTAAACTAACTAATGTCAGGAGTAACGAATTAATGACTACTAATTCAAATTGGTTGGATAATAATGAAATTGTTGATCACCCTAGCCTTTAGGTGTCCAGTTGGATCATGAATTAAGTTTTATATAAAACTGTCGAGTTGCAATTCAGTCACCTCTGACGTGATGTGTTAGGAGAAGGCGTACAAATTAAAACATTTTCTTTTCTACCAGTTTTTACACATCCTGCTCATGAATTCTCTTTATTCTTTGAAGCAGGATTAACCTGGTCATCATTTACATGTTTAAACGTTGTACGAATGCAGAGTCGATTGCATTAGTGCCTGATTTACTATGTAACTTAGTTATTAGTCAAGAAGTAAAGACCTTCAGCATGCTTGTTGTGAGATTTGGGGTTATGTCTCAGTCATCCTTGATCCCATTTATAGAAGTATTTAAATTAGTTTCAGCCTTCTAGTTTAGGAATCACCGAATCTCTCACAATTTTCTTATGTAAGCTGGGTATCTTACGATCAGAACACATTGAATTAGACTGACACTCCAAAATGCAACAGTAGTCGATTAGTTTTTAGGTCTCTTTCCCTACATTTGCGCACATGGCAACACATCAAAAGTCATCTGTTGCACTGCACTTAAGGGCATCCTGAGGATGTGAAAGATGATATAAAAATGCAAGCTATGTTTTTCTTTCAATTTCAGCAAGTTTTGTCTATGATTCTTTCTGATGTAGGAGTGACCAAGTTACTTTGTAAGTTCCAAATAAGAAATGTTTGAAATAAATTCAACTTTCTGACGCAGTACTGAATGAACAGCACTCAGGCCTCTGGCGTGAAAACCTGTCAGTCCATTAAGACCCAAAATTGCTAGTGTTCAATGTAACTCATGGTTTTAAATTCCATTTATAACGATGCCTTCATTTGTTTTTCTGATTTACTATTGTCCTTGGTTCCTTTGAACCCCTTACATTTAGGAAATGTTCTTACGCACATGGAAAGTTTTATTCAATAATTGTAACTTCCTTTCTTCTGCTGTATTCAAGGAACACAAGCAGGAAGTGAGCAAATTTCTTTCAAAACAGGAATGAGGAAGATCAACAGTTTCGCTGGTGAAAGTTATGCTGAAGCAGGAAAATTTCAGCAAATCAGTTCAGTTTGCAAAGTAAAAATAGCAGGAGTTGGACAAGTATGTTACAAATTAACCCTGATGTTACTGAAATCCAATTATTCTTTCAAAGGCTGAAAAGATTCAAATAAAAAAGTTAAGTTGCATTTAAATTTGGGGTCAAGATTGTCAAAAATGCCCTTAATCTTCAGCCACAGTTGGAGGAGTGTTGGTATTGGAATAATACTAACAATTTAGAGTTGGTTTTAGTTTATGTAGCATTCTTCCATAGCTGAGTTGATTCATTTCCATAAAGCCAGTACCATTAATGTTTTTAATACAGTTGACAAGTTTGAGACTAGTGAAAGCTTACATCAGTGAAGATGGCGCTATGGTAACTCTTTGTTCTTCTTACAATTGTCAACTGTTACAATAATCATCATGGCATACATTCCTGAGACTGTTGTCAAGAGAAAGATTCCACTCACCTCTTGAGTTGTAATTCTGGTTTAATACAATTTTAGAATTACATTGACAATCATTTTGTTCACAAATAGTATAGTACCCTGCTTTGATTCATGAGATCAAATTCTTCTCAGCTAAATGCATATTTCAACCAAATATAGAATTTTAAATTCTCTAATTCAACAAGGCAGTCAAAACGTTTCCATATATGAGAATATTATCAAAATGAAAGCACAAAGCATTAGAAGCAACCTATAGCTATAGCTGGAAGTTGGTTAAGATGTAAAAGAGAGTGCGAGAATGGATTTGTACTCCAGTTGGCTGGGTATGATTAGTGATAACATGTACTGGGAACTCAACTTTTGCTGATATTTCAGCTCACATCATTGATCAAAATATAGGATGTCATTCCATATTCTCTGTATGGAGAAGCAGATGATGACATTAAAAGCACAACTTCTTTGACTGTCTCACCTCATCTAAAGTAATAATCGTAAAAGCTTGCATTGCGTTTCAGATATGTGACAACAATTCCCAGCTCATGCTTTCAGAATGGATTGTTCACCTAGGCCTTAATGGTTCGTTGTCAAGTAAAGGCACCCGTTTGATGACAACATTCATCATGTTATGGGACAGTATTTTGGTTTTAAGATATCTACATGCATGCTCGGGTAAACAGAAGTCTGCCTTGCATGAGTAACCAATTTCTAACAGTTCGTGACTATGTTAAGGGAGGGGAACTTGTTAAAGTGAGATAACGTGCCATGACAGTTATTATTCTATCAAAACACGGATTAAAAAACTGGTGCATAATTAATAAAACACGATTGCAAAACATGACTATTTTTATTTAAACTTCTTCACTCATATTTTCTTGATCTCCTGGTTTAATTGCCTTCTGTACAGCACCCCCCCTTGTCCTGGAACTTTGGCAAAGTTAATTCCCTCAGTAATATTCAGCACTTTATTTTTGTCTTTCCTTTTCTTTGACGGTGAAGCAACTATTTTCGACTTAGCTGCCATTCTGCGACTGGGATGAGGAGAGTTGGGGAGTTGTGGGAGCAGTGCATAGTGATGGGAGGAGGTGGTGGTCGGGGTGGTAGCAGGATGGTGGGATTTGACGAATTCAGGAAACAATCCCTCACTATAACATTTTTGGTTGCTGCTCTGACACACCCTGCATGTCCAAAATTAAGTTCAATGGAAGGGATAAAACTAGAATCTTAATCCATCTGTTATGATTTTTGATAGAAAGAAAATTTTGCTCCATTGTCCTCCTGGTTTTTGACAAAAACACAGTGCAGCACAAAAGGGTGATAAGCTCCTGAATGCTGTAGGTACCTTGCCAAAGTAGTCTGATATAGAGTAATTAAAGGACAATGCACCCGACTATTTAGACTTGCTGAGGCTGTCATTACCTCACCTGATAGTGTGCAATTGACACCAAAGTATTATTGAATTATGCTATTAATTTACATATTAATTTACACATTAAAGAAAACTGGAGCAAGGTGTGAAATTGTAATCAATGTTTAAAATAACCTGTCATTGTAAATGATTGATGCAAACCCTCAATACAAAGTCTTTGCTTCTTGTCGGTTTCATACAGAATGCAAAGTAATTGGATATTTTAATCTGTTACATCATGTCTGACCACTTATGCCCTAGAGGGTTAGTGGGAAGACTGGGTATAATAGTATTGCTTTTTCTGACTATTTCTATTCTCTCCTGAGGTTCTTCCCCGTGGTGGTATAGTTCCATGAATATTGGTTGCCTTTTTACAGCTGGCCAAAGTCAGTTCAAACAGACTTCTTAAAGAGTACAACCATGCATGAATTTTAAAAAAAGATACTTTTCAGTTATAACTATTTTTAACATAATTTCAGTTTGATTGATCTTTACTCATTGTAAACAGGGCGTGCTGATGTTGAGAAGTGATATGAAAACGTCATTGAATCCAATGCATGAGAAGTGAATTAATATAGCCAAGGCCATTAACCCGAAATGCTTCGCAATCCTCTCAGTTGGACCTTGTGTTTTAATTCAGAAACAGATAGCATGTCTCAAATCTGGCTCTCCAAAAACTGGAATTGTCCAAAAAGTAGACAGTGCTCTTCTGGGCAGTGCTCCTGGAACAGAGTAAGCATGGAAATGAAGGAACCATTGTTGGATTGACCCCAGAGAGATGGAATTGGTGAGGGTTGTGCATACACAGGACCTGTGTCCATTCCAGCACTTTAAGATATGGTTCCCCAAACCATCCTTATTTTTCAACACTAAACTGTTCTTTTCCACTGATGGGAATATTCAGATTGTAACATTTCTAGCCACTTGTGAGGAGAAGATTTTAAATCAGCTGTTTCTGTCCAGGCAAATGCTCTTTTCTTAAATGAAGCACTAAACTGGAAGAGTTCTTAAATGTTTGCCTTATCAAAGCTTTTAAATCTTCAATGTTTCTGACCATAATGATTGAGGACTTTTTGTACGCAAGCATTCCTTGTTCCATGAACCACAACTGAGACATTTATAATGACATTAATGATCAATACAGAATGTGCTATAGAGACAGCCTGTGTGAAGGAATTGATACCAAAATCTCTGGGAAAATGCAAAATTGGGCAAAGCCTTGAGTCCTAAGATTTCTGGATTTGGGACACTGTACCTGTTTCACTTTTCCAAGAAATTGACCCATTATTTCCCTTGAAGCAAAACGAGTGACTGGTCTGAGGCAGTAATTTCTGTATCTTACACAAAATATAGGACAAGGGAAGACATCTTGTATACCATGTTGATTCTTCCATCACAGCATTGAACAGTGTTTCAAATGACTCCAAAGTTTGTAAAGGTTGACACATCTCTGTAGAAGGGTTTCTTGAGTGCTCCAGTGACCCAAAGTGAAAATGTTTTTTTTTATTGTGTTCTTACTAAATTACAATCCAGCTTCTGTGTGACTGCTTTGGATTTAGTAAAGTTAAAGTTGCCATGGTCTTACCATAGCATAGGGCCGCTCTCTCATTAGAGAGAGATGACTGGTGATGGTTTAACTTGAGGGTCACACGTCAGGTGAAGGGAAAGATTAAGAAGGAGAGTCTTGCATGATAACATCAGCTGCTGTGGGAATTGAACCCATTCTGTTGGTATCATTCTGCATCACAAACCAGCCATCTAACTTAAACCAACCTCCTTTGGGGTGGATTTGATTGTTGTCAATTTTTATCTAATTACATGACAGAGATGCCTCAGGACCTTTCCTACCCTGATGGTGCCACATAAATGCAAGCTACTGATTTCTTCTTTTTGGCAATATGAACAATAATTTGAAAATAACAATGAAAATATTCCGCTGTTGTATGTAAAACAGACAGAACTCACATTCAGATTTCCAGCAGCTTTGAACTTTAATTTGAAGCAAACAATCTATTTCTGAAAATGTAAGAGGTCCACCAATCTGATGGCATAGAAAATACAGTAACTCTGTGAAGTATTGGTTGCTGTTACAACCCAGTATTGTACAACATAGAAATTAGTTGTTGGTGATGTTGATGGAGAATGTTTAAATATATATGAATGTTTCTTTACATGTATCACAAACAATGATGTCTAGGTTTATATAGCTTATATTCTGTTTTCCATGTAAGGCAACATTTACAACTAATTAGCGTTAACTAAATAAATGTGAATTTGATTTTGGTAGTTCAGGGAACGTGTACAAAAAACTCTTCAGCTGTCAGGACCAGAAACCATAAAGTGGAAGCAGAAGTAAGCCATTCGGCCCATCGGGTCTGCGCCACCATTCTATAAGCCACAGCTGATCTGATAATCTAGCACAGCATTTTCCTACCTTATCCCCAAAATCTTGATTCCCTTACTGATTAAAATCTATTTATCTCTGCCTTGAATGTATTAAATGACCTACCCATTAAGAGAGATGAAATTCCTCCTCAACTCTATTTTAAATGTATGAGCCTTTATGCTGAGATTAAGCCCTTGGACTCTAGATTCTAGCACAGGGAAAATCAATTTCTTAGTATCTACCCTGTTAAGTTGCTAAGAATTTTATATGTTTTAATAAGGTCGCCTCTCCTTTTTCTACACTGTAATGAGTACAGACGCATCCTACTTGACCCCTCCTCACAAGAAAATCCTTCCATGCTTCGGATGAAACGAGTGAACCTTTTTTAGACTGTCTCTAAATGTATATTTCCTTACATAAGAGGACCAAAACTATTCATAGTATTCCATGTGTGCTTTAACTAGTACCTTGTATACTTTTGGCAAGGCTTCCCTGTTTATATATTTCATTCCCTTCAAAGTAATTTCATTTATAATCCCTGTCATCTGCTAAACATGGTCAGAGACTAGGAATACTGGAGTGAGGAATTCACCTCCTGACTCCCCAAATCCTATTTGTCATCTACAAGACACGAGTAAGGAGTGTGATGGAATACTCTCCACTTGCCTGGATGAGTGCAGCCCCAACAACACTCAGGAGAATTGACACCATTAGAACAAAGCAGCCTGCCTGACTGGCACGACATCCATAAGCACCACTGCCTCCACCACTGATGCTCAGTAACAGTGTGTACTATCTACAAGATGCACCGTAGAAATTTACCAAAGATCCTCAGACAGCACCTTCCAAACCCACGACCACTTCCACCTAGAAGGACAAGGGTATCAGACGTATGGGAACACCAACACCTCTAAGTTCCCCTCCAAGTCACTCACCATCCTGACTTGGAAATACATTGCTGTTCCTTCACTGCTGCTGGGTCAAAATGCTGGAATCCCCTCCCTAATGGTATTGTAGGTCTAGCCAGAGCAAATGGACTACAGCGGTTCAAGAAGGCAGCTCACTATTACCTTCCCAAGGGCATCTAGGGATGGGCAAAAAAGGCTAGCTAGCCAGCGATGCCCACATCCCACATCAAAATGCTTTTTGTGAATTGAGCATGGAAACCTCCAAATCCCTGTGCGCTTCTCCTGTGTACTGTCATTCTCCATTTAAATAATATCCAGCTCCCTTATTCTTCCTAACAAAGTGCATTCCTTTGTACTTATCCACATTATATTCCATCTGCCAAGATATTGCCAACTCATTTAACCTGTCTGTATGTGTCTGCAGACTCTTTTTGTTGTCCTCACCACTTGGCTTCCCACCTACTTTTGTGTCATCCTTAAAATTGGCAATAGTACATTCATTCCCTCATCCAAATCATTAACATACAGTAAGTATCTGATCACTATGGAACTCCACAAGTTATAAATTGCCAATCTGAAAATGCCCTCCTTATCCCATCTCTATACATTCCATTAATTTGCCAATCTTCTATCTGTGCTAATATGTTACACACAACTGCATGGGGTCTTCTTTTGGTAAGTAGCCTTATGCACAGTACCTTGCCAACTGCTTTTTGGAAATCCAAGTATATTACATCTACGGTTCCCTTTTATCTATCCGGCTTGTTACCTCCTCAAAGAATTCCAATAAATTTGTTAGGCATGATTTTTCCTTAATGAAGCTATGCTGCCTCTGCTCGATCATGTTATGAATTTCTAATTTTTCTGCTATTACGTCCTTTATAAAGTACTGTAACATATTCCCAATGACAGATGTTAACTGGCCTTTGGTTGCCTAGTTTTTGTCTTCCTCCCTTTTTGAATAAAATTGTTACAGTGGCAGTTTTCCAATTCTCTGACACTTTCCCAGAATCTAAGCATCCTTGGAATATTGTTAACAGTAGATGCTTCCTTTAATATCTTAGGATATAGACAAACAGACAAGTTGGCAGAATGGGCAGACAGGTGATAGACGAATTTCATTGTGGAGAGGTGTGAGTTATGTACTTTGATACAAAGAACATGGAGAGAGGGTATAAAATAAAGAGCACTATTCTAATTGGTGTGCAAGGCCATTAAGATCTGGATGTGTGTGTAAGTCATTAACAGTGGCAGTACAGGGAGAGAGAGATGTTAATAAAACATGTCTTTTAATAGGGGCAAAGAGTACAAGAGCAGGGAGGTTATGCTGAACCTGTATAGCACACTGTTTAGACCTCAATTGGAATATTGCATACAGTTCATTGAATTCCTACAGTGCGGAAGGAGGCCCACTGAGTCTACAGCAATCGTATGAAGAACATCCCACCCAGACCCAGCCCCAGCCCCCTAGTCTATCCTATCCCTGTAACCCCTTATTTACCATGGCTAAACCACCTGGGCACTACAGACAATATAGCATGGCCAATTCACCTAACCTGTACATCTTTGGACTGTGGGAGGAAACCAGAGCACATGAAGGAAACCCATGCAGACAAGGGGATGGGAGAAGGGAAATCATGCAAACTTCACACAGACAGTCAGCAAAAGCTGGAATTTAAACCCAGTCCCTGGCACTATGAAGCAGCAGAGTTAACCACTGAGCTACCATGCTGCCCTTATTTTATGGGCACAACATGACAGTTCTGGACGCAACATTTTAGGAAGGCTATAACATGCATTGGAGAGAGTGCAGAAGAGATTGATAAGAATAGTTCCAGGGATGGGAAATTTCAGTTGTGAGGAATATTTGAAGAAATTGGTACTGTTTTCATCAGAGTGGAGAATGCTGAGGTGATGTTTGCTACAAGTTTCCAGAATCATGAGAGGGTTTGAGCACAGCAGATCGAGACAAATTGTTCTCAACTGTAAAGAATTGAGAAGCAGCCAGCACTGTTTAAAATGTTTTGCAAAAGAAGCAACTGCAGGGAAGGGAAAAAAGAACTTTCACAATGCCAGTGGTCAGAGTTTGGAATGTACTGTCTGGAAGTGTGGTAGAGGCAGGTTATGAAGCACTTGAGCACATTGAAACTGAAACAATGTGCAGGGTTATGGGGAAAAGGCAGGAATTTAGCATGAAGTCAAAATGTTCAGAGAGCTGATGTAGACATGATGAGCTGAAAGGCCTTCTTCAGCACTTTAACAATTCTTTGATTCTGTGAGGATATAAACCATTCAGGTCTAGGGGTCTTATCAGTAAGTTTTCCTAATGCTTTCTATCTGGTGATAATTATTGGATTCATTATCCTCGACACCAACATTTTTGTTCCTTGATTATTCAGTATTTTTGGGATTTCTTTTATTAATTCACAGGATGAATGGTTTCTCTGGCTAGGCCAGCATTTATTGTACATCACTAATTGACCAGAGGGCAGTTAAGATTCAACCACATTGCTGGAGTCTGGAGTCACATGTAGGCCAAGACAGGTAAAGGTGACAGTTTCCTTCCCTAAAGGACATTCGTGAACCAGGTGGGTTTTTCCCAACAATTGACAATGGTTTCATGATCATTATTAGACTCATAATTCTACATTTTTGTGGAATTCAATTCTACCATCTACCATGGCAGGATTTGAATCCAGGTCCCCAGGATATTACCTGGGTCTCTGGAATAATAGCCTAGTAATAATACCACCAGGCTATTGCCTCCCATATATTTTCGTACTTGTGAAGACTGGTGGAAATGATTTATTCAACTTTTGTGCCATTTTCTGGTTCGCCATTATCATTTACCTGGCCTTATTCTCTAAGGGGGCCTACCTTCACTTTAGCTTCTTTTATATTTTACAGATTTTAAGATACTATTACTATCCTTTTTGTATTACTTGTTAGTTTATTCCCAAAGTTTATTTTCTTACACTTTTGATATTATTTTGGTCACGTTTTGTTGATTTTTAAAACTTTCATAATCCTTTGGTTTACCACTAAATTTTGCCATACTGTATGGTTTTCTTTCAATTCATTACTTAGCTTTCTTCGTTAACCATAGTTGGTTTTTCCCCTTCCAAGAGTCCTTCTTACTCACCAGGATATGTCTTTGTTTTGAGTCATGAGCTTCTTTTTAAACATCTGCCACTGTTCATCAACATCTGCCACTGGTCTGGCAACATCTGTGAAGAGAGAAACTGAGTGAACATTTTGAGTCCGGTATGACTTTTCTTCAAAGCTGAAACTGGCTGGAAAATAGACACAGCGGGAGGAGGAGTGAGTGGAACAGATGGTGAGGATGCCCACAACAAAAGGTAGTGCTAAGAGAGATAGAAATGTAAAAGAAAGTGATAGGAGTGGAAAGAGTGCAAAGCCAGTAAGGCACAAGAAAGGCATGGTTTGGGAATGGGGCTGGGGGCTGTGGATTTAATCAAAATTGATGTCAGAATTAATGCTTGAAGTAGTTTAACTCAATGTCCTAGATGCTATAAACTGGCTTAATGTAAAATAAGGTGTTGTTTCTCCAGAGATTACACAGTGTGGAGCTGGAGGAGCACAGCAGGCCAGTCAGCATCAGAGGAGCAGGAAAGTTAACGTTTTGGGTTTGAACCGTTCTTTAGAAATGATTTCTGAAGAAGGGTTCTGACCCGAAATGTCAACTTTCCTGCTCCTCTGATGCTGCCTAGCCTGCTGTGCTCCTCCAGGTCCACACTGTGTTATCTCTGACTCCAACATTGGCAGTTCTTACTATCCCTGTTGTTTCTCCAGCTTGCATTGAGCGTCATTGGAATACTGCTACAGCCCCAGGATGGAAATGTTAGCATGGGAACACGTTGGTAACAGGAAGATTATTCTTATGGACAGAGCAGAGAGTGTTCTGTAAAAACAGTCGTCCGGTATAGTCTTGTCAATGTAGAGGAGACCACATTGCATCGGTGTATACTGTAGATTAGATTGGAAGAATTACAAATGAAACAGCACTTCATTTAGAAGATGTGAACCTTGGACAGTGAGGAGAGAAGAGATAAAAGGGAAGTTGTTAGACTTCTGTGATTGCATAAGAAGGTTCCATGGATGTTGGAGAAATGTAAGGAGTGATGGAAGAGTGGAGCGGGATGCAGAGAGGGCATGGTCCCTATGGGATAATGACAGTGGTTGGGAAGGAAAGATGTGTTGGTGGTTGGCACCCTGTTGGAGGTGGCAGAGATGATGGAGAATGATTCTTTGAATGTGAAAAATTTGATTTTGAAAACTAGTGGGGTGACAATTGAGGGGAAAGGGAAACCCTATCATTGCTCTGGCCAAGATGAGGGCAGAAATGTAGGTGCTAACTGGAAACATCTGGTGGTCCAGTCAATCATGATGGGGAAAGTGGCACCCGGTGGAAGATAGCTTCATAAGAACATGTGTAATGGAAATGGAGAAACTGGAAGGATGAAATGAGTCTTTGGGGAAGCGGGGTGTGAGGAAATGTAGTCAAGGTAACACTGGGAGTCAGTGCTTGTAATAAGTAATGGTGGGCAGCATATTCCCAGAAGTGGAAACAGCAAAGGCAAGTAAAAGAAGGGAAATATCAGCAATGGATCAGGGGAAAGTGAGTGATTGATGGAAATTGGAAGCAAAATTGATTATTTTTTCCAATTCCAAACAAGAGCAGGAAATAGCACCAATAACATCATCAGTGCGGGTGGGAGCTACAGTAGGACTGGAACAAAAGCTATGACAGACATTGCATGTTTCTTCTTCAAGACTACGTGAGCATAGACATGACCATGGAAAAAAGGCAGGCAGTTAGAGTGCCCAAACACACACCCTGAACTTATAATTGCTCACCTTACCTACGGATCCAGGAGAAAACCTATTAGAAATTTCCACAATTCATCTGCACCTTCTTTGCACCAGGGTGAAAAACCAGGAGTTTGCAGCTAAAGTGGAGCCAGAAACTTCGGAGCAGGCATAATTTTGTGGCGTCAAAAGACACTGAATGCTTTCCATTTGCACTCATTCCTTCCTCTTACCTATTGAAAATGAGCATATTTTATACTTCTATTTTTCTCATAGCTATTGTGTTGTGACTAATTAGGATTTTACTACTGCTGGTATTTTCAATGAGGTGAAAGAGGCATGGATGAATTAATAAACTGATGGAATTAGGAATGAGACACTGCTGTTAATGTTAGGTCATTATATTGTTTGAATCTTTTGTGTTAATTCAACTTTCTATTCAAGATACCACCTACTTAAATTTTCAAACATACATCATTCCCACATTTGAAGGTAAACTTCCCTCATGTCAACTGGGCAAACAGAAACATGCAAGTCATGAGAAAATAAACTCTCTGGTTTTACAAAGTTTTCCACCTTAAGGTCTGGATGGGAAATATTAAACTTCGATGTGAACTAAAGCTGCCATTTGAGTTTGGGGCCTTTAGTAAAGCTACAGAAGTAATATTACTTCATTTGAAGCAAATAATACTTCTCCTTTAGCATTTTTCCTTTCACATGACTATATGCTCAGTTGGCTACATTGCCCTTACCCAGATTTCTATAATGCTGGCCATTTGTGCTGTGAAGTGAGAAACAAACAGTCCTGGAAAGTTTCATCAAAGCATTAAACATCAAGAGGTTGATGCCTTGCATCATTAGCTTAAGCTCTGGTACAATTAACTATCTACTACATTATTAGTGCCATCACTAAGCTGCAAGAACACATATATCAGTTTTTGTCTATTTTCTGACAGGCGTTGAGATTTTTTTTTCCTGAGTATCACTGGAGGCTTTGAAAATGTATCTGAAATTGACAAAGTATTTGTACAGATGTGCATTTTGGTGATGGGGGAGGGGTGTAGAAGTGGGGTGATAAGTACAGTCAGGTACAGAGCAGGATATCAATTGAATAATGATTACAAGTGAGCTCACTGTGGTGCAAGCACCTGTTGTTTAACTGAAGGAATGTCCTTACCAGGCCTTGAAGCCCAGCTTTGTTTCTTTTTTGTCTTGGTTCTTTAGCTGGTGTACAGATTACACTGAGGGCACAGGGGAACAGCCGTTTATGTGCTTTGTGGTCAGTACTCTGGGGATTATCTCCAAGTCAATGTTTATGGAGTGCCGCAGCTAACACTGCCCAGATGCTGTATCTGTGGGAAACCCTGAAACCACACTGCACTAGGCTTGCGGTGTTGTCAGGGATAAATACTCTTTCCTATTCAGGCCGTTTGTATATACACAAGTTTTTTCACACCAACTGAGTGAGCGTAGTGGCAGTTAAGGCAGATGCAAACATAGCACTACTGGTGAAATGCCTTACAGATGTTTGAGGTTACCAGTTCTTCAGGTTATTAGAATTCAGAGTTGGGGTTTGAAGCCCTGATGGGAGGTGTATTTTTGCCCCTGTTATTTGCTGTCATGTGGGTTTACAGAATGCAGTGGAGGTGCAGGGAATTGCTTCAACCACATAAGGCAAAGTTTCACACAGAAGTCTAGACCACAACAGGATCTGGAAAAAGAGACCAGTCATTCTTAGCTCACACACAAAAAAACCTAACTGTTTACTTCCCTTTCAGGAGCTATAATTAAAATCACCAAAGCTTCAGTAAAGGCATCAAGACCCTACCCGAAAGCTACTTTCTCTTTGTACTTGCAGCAGCATTAGTATTTTAGCAGAAATTGATCTTTCTCATTTGATTGTCCTTGAAATTTTAATGTTACCAATTCTCTAGGCATCTGCACAAATTTAAAGGCTAATCTCCATGATTCTGTTGAGAACAATCCTGCAGAACAATCAGAAAGGCGGTGAACTATTGACAAATTTCTTCAAATACAGGGAGCAATGAATGGCTCATTTTAAGTTGCCAATGTGCATTGGAACTCTGAGGAAGACTTGGTCCATGTTCATACATAGAATTTTCAAGGAAATTCAAACTTTTAACTTCCAGTTTACTCAGCTCGGACTGCTGCCTGATTCTTTATGGCAATGGGATCAGATGGCCACAAACCATGGAGACTTGGGCTGTTTGCCCTGAACTTACCCTGGTTTTTAAGTGAATTTCCTAAAGAGATTTTGCTAGTAGTTAAGGCCTGTTCACAGATTGAGCTCGAAGCAATTCAGCTGGAGTGTCAAAACACATCAACAACCACAGCAACTTCTGGCTATGGTCATCTCACCTCCTAACAATGTTCATTTACCACCTGCCTGTCTCCCAAACAATGCTCACCCCTTCCCAACAATGCTCGGCCCTTCTCCCGGCTTCTCAACAATGTTCATTCCCCTCTTGATATTTTATTCTTGGCATTATTTGGCTAATGCATAATATTTACAGAATCTGTTGAGGTAAGGGAAACACTAACGCTAATAGGAAAATCTTACTACAAGGTTGTCTTGGGTGGTTGCAATGTTGAGAAGCCTAAGCACAGTTGATCCTTGCTGGGTCTTGACTCAGGCCTGTTATACACTGTATGTCATGTATTGACTTAAGTTTAGTCAAATTAATCCCTGCCATACTGCTGCACCTTCTGTTTGGTTATGCCCTGGTATAGCCTGTGGTTGCATCTTTGGAGTCAAATTTCTTGGGGCAGTGGATCAGCTCCCTTTTGTACTGCATGTCTTGCACTAAAATTGGAATTTAGAGTGTCTTTGCAGTGGGTGTATTAGACTGCACTTGCCACAACTTGCTTTCTTTTTATATCCTGGTTACAGTGTCTAAATTGTTTACTCACCTTATGCTTACAAGTGCTGTTAGACTTGTATTTTCTGCCATTAGCTAGCAGTGAATCAATGCCATGCAAGAGAGAAGTCAGGTGATGTGGTGTAGTGATCTTAGTGAAGTTATGAATAGTTAGTCTGAGACTCTTCTGGGCATTAAGAGATTGCAAAAAGTCTTGGTTCAGCTCAGACATTTGCCAGGGAGAAGAATGAAGTTGGTGGTTAGGAAGTAAATTTTATTGTTGCCAGCACAGCATTTCAGAATCTGGGACCAGATATCTGGGCTGTCCCATCATGCACTTAGTTTAGTGATGTTATAATCCATAGCCTTGCTCTTTGTTCCTGTGTCAGCTGTACAGAGTTTACAGAAATCCTGGCTACATGAACATTACCGATAAAAATGGCTGCCGGCCCTATCAATTTTTGGTTTGAGTGCTGAATTGGGATTTGGGCCAAGCAACCAAGGCAGCCTAGGGGAAAAATATGCCCCAGGACTCTATTGCTATGGTCAAAGTCTAAAAATAAAGAAGAAAACATAAAACATTTTTCCCCCTTGCTCCTCTTCATCTCCCCATATTTCCCACGTCCAATCAAAGCTACCCTGTGTCCCTTTGCCTATTTTCATGGCCCCCTCATACACCCTATGCAAGTCTACCCATCTCCGATATCCCCTAAAACACCCTGTGCAACTAAACACATCCATCATGGGCCATTATAGCCCCTAAGGTACTCTATGTCAATCTATCTTTCTCCTGTGCCACCCGAAGTCCATCCACCTATCCTCAATTATGAGAAAAGATATTCAATATATTCAAAAACATTTAAATAAATTGAATTTTCTTCAAATAATCTCTTACGAGAATAAACATTTTGCTTAAATATTTAATCTCTCAAATAAGTAATCCTTTACATAAACAAACATTTCCACTAAAAAAGCAATTGGAGCTGTCCATCAAAAAGCTCTCCTGCTAGTCCCCAAAAAGCGAGAAATAGAAATCATTCCTCCAGTTCTCACCCCTCACATTGCCCTTACCTCACACACTCCCCGTTCTTCAGCCATGTCAACTTTTGCAGCCTAAGCCTTAAGCCCGCCCCTACATCGCTCCCCACATCCCATTTACCCTATACAGGGCTCCTCTACCTATCCCCATGACACCCTATACCCTATTCCAACTTCATGCCTACTCCACTCATCACACAATTTCCCCTTCTTGACAACTCCTTGAATATCCACAAGTACCCATGTACGTAGGACATACATAGTTCTAATAGCTAAAGTTCTATATTGCGGACTACACTTTATCAGGGAAAAGGTCTCTCATTCATAAAAGAAAAAAACATTTGACATTTCCTGGCAGTTCTTTACTGGTCAACACTTGTTGACACTTGTTGACACCTTTTGACAGTTCATTACAGGTCTTCACAATTTGAACAATTGCATGGCGTTTATGTACATTTACACACAATCTTTTGCACAATTAACAGTCCCAAAAGGGACCCTAACCTCTTCCCAAAACTTCCTTGAACTCCACCCCAAGTTGTTCTATAATCATATCTGCATGGATATCTCAGTCTTCCAATGTAGTATCCTGGCTATCCAAAAACAAAAAGCACTGAGAGCAGGTCTGCTCCTATCTGGTCTTATCACCACACATTGGGTTCCAGCAACCAACATTTGATTTTAGTGGAAGTAGCTGGTCACTGAAGTAGCTGTCTCTGAGAACTGTGCATGTTTGAACGATGGCCTGTAACCATCACCACCCCTTCACCAAATGCCACCCTGCAGAATTGAGGGATGCTGGGTTCGGGAGCAAGACTTGAAATTCCTCAATTCTTGTGACGTTTTTGCTGCGGTAGAGACACTTGGCCGTGGTAAAAACCTAGATCTATATGTTTGCTACAAAATTTGAGGAAAAATGTTAAAGTAAACTTTGTAGGCAATTGCCCAGTGAAAACATTTGTTACTCACAGATATGGCCATAATGCTGCTCTGAAGGGGAATTGCAGCTTGTAAAATGTCTACCAATGATTTTTTTTTATAAGCAACTTGTATGATGCATCCTGCTGCTTTTAAAATTTATGACATGCCAGATGTTCACATTTTTGCAGTAGAGGTCAGTCACTGAAAGGTTGAATTTGTGTATCTCTGTTTACCACCACTTTTCACCCTTTTAGTTTGAGTCCAGAGTGCAGCGTATTATATATAAACGGGTCTTTCTACATTACTGTAAGCACATCTGCCCTCCTGCATTCCTTTCTCAGACTGGTGAGCTGGCTCCAATGATCTGCAAATGTTTTTCTTATCTAACTTCCAGATATACTCCAAGAAAATTTTACCTTTGGTTTTTCTCCTTTCCTGATGGGTAACAACTTCCTCTGTAAAGAAACAGCAAGAGAGTGCTTAATGTGCAGACAAACAAATCACCTAACACAATAATTGGGCAAGTGGATGTTCAGCACCAGCAAACTTGCCACTGTCCTACTTACCAAAAGCCTACTCTGAAGTTTTGTACAACAACTGGACTTTTCGATCCTCAGTCAATACCCACTGCCTCTTAATAAAATTATCTATGGTTTGTCATCTGAAATTTCTGCACCAATGTGCACAGTTTGTCTCAAGACACTTTCTTGGTGTAACATTTTGCAGATGTGAATATTTTTGCAGTTCTGTCACCATACAAAGTGTATCAACAATGACTAAATGATCAAAATAGCTAAATTAGCGGAGGTATCTGAGCAGAACTCTAAGTATTGAACATGGGAAGCTAGCTCAGTTATCACTGTGTAAATTTGTTGCAATTCATCATTTTCTACTGTTTCTGTATTTTTGGCAGGGATTCTTCTGAAAATCTTACAAATTGCAAATTATTTAGGCCCAATTAAAATGTAGAATCTAATTTCAAAGCGCAGAACAAGGAAATGTCTTGTCATCCTGCAGCAGAAGAGTTGAACCCAAAACTGTGTATAGGTTTCAAATATTCTTAAACAATACATTGCCCGAAACGTCAGCCTTCTTGCTCCTCTGATGCTCCTTGGCCTGCTGTGTTCATCCAACTCTACACCTTGTTATCTCATTTGATAATAGGTGCAGGTTTAGAGAGGAAATCCACATATAGCTTAGATGGCTGAAAGTTTGCCAATCTGGAGGCTGGATTCTGGTTGGGAGGGATGGGGTGGTAGCAGGTGCAGTATTGGTGGAGGTCACAGATATCCATTTAAAAGGGACAAGGCTATGGATATTTATCATGAGGGTGATAACTTTAAATCACAGGCACTGTGGGAAGAGGAGCCAGTGTGGTTTGCAAGGGCAAGTGTTAGTTCAATTGGTTACCAAAGTAACAAGTCAACTGTAGGCAAAAAATTCAGACAGAGCCCTGATCATTATGTGGTGATCCTTGTGCAAAAATGCTTGGTGAGGGATATCAGATTAATTCAGTATTTAACTTAACCATGATTTGCTTCCATTGTCGGATGGCCCACCATCATTTACTGTTTAGGATTACACATAAATTGTAGCTATTTGAATAAAGTACTAAGAAGTTTTATAAAGACTGTGGCACCATATCCAGAAAAGTTCCATTAAGAGGGTAACGGAGAACGATGAAGTGAAAACTGGAAAGAAAAAGTATGATCTCTTTTCCAGAAAATAAAATGCGGCAGATGTGCTAAAGTAACCCAAGTGACTTTGAAGATTTAACAAGCAACATGGTGCAATGTGACCTCTGCAGCTTTCCACCAGCCAAAAATTCAAAGATGAAATTCTATTTGACCCAAAACAGCAGGTAAATCCTCAAAGAAAAACAGCAATGATTTTAAAAGCTGCAGCACAATGGCAATAAACTGGGCAAAGCCTGCACACAAAAAAGCCCTCCTACTTGCCAATAAATTCTTCACAATTTATTCAATGTGTGGGAGCAATTTATTGGCTTGTAAACCCAGGATCTGTTTGGTTATCACTTTAATGTTCTTTCTAACATCCAAAATATACATGTTAGCTATTACAATGCTTCTCTGGAAATGGATAATGATAAGTATTAGTGCACAGATTCTGGCAAGTGCAAGAAATAACTTTTTAAAATTCTTATTAATAGAAGATTTTTCTATTTTAACATGAATGTATTGATGCACTGTTCATTTTAAATCTAAAAACAGCTTTACCGAAGTCATACTTTCAATCTGGATAAACCATTCTAGTCTTTACAAACTACTTGAATATGCAAAAGTCAGTAATAAATTGACTCAACTTTTATTAAATAAAATCATCAGCCAAAGTCAGTGCAATTAATTTTGTAGATAATTATGTTGAGCTGTGGTCTTTGCATTATTATGGAGCATTCTGTATTTCACTAACATGGCTCACAATATTCTTCAAATAATCTGATATTTAAGGTTGAAGGGCGTAACGTTACTGGAAGAATGGTAAATTCAAGATTTTGTATTTTGATGGATATTTTAAGTAGGAACAAAACTACTTTAGAAGTTTTTTTTTAAATTGAGCATTCCACGTTAAGGTTCAAATACTCTTACATTTATTAACATAACAATTCAAATCAAGTGACTGAAAAGAGAAAAAATGGCCTTGTCAAACAAATGCTCAAAAGCACAAAGTCTAAGTGGCAGTTGTGTGTTGCTGGTCTATCAATAACTTCACTACCACTCACTGCAACATTTAGGAGAGCAACCGCAACTAATCAGTTTTCACTGCCTGAAGAGTATCAATTGCTTCTTTGTTCTATCAAGTGATTGAAAGCATATTCCTTTGAAAGAAGAAATGATTCAACAAAATAATATAAAAAATCCAGGAGAAACTTTGTACAGTCTAGCTGTTCTGAACACTCCACTTCCACACTAGTTCAGTGGGGAGGGTCAGGCTAAATGTAATGTTAATAGAGACCTTATTAGCACTCTGTACTATTGACAATACCAGGTATTTAATTATATGTTGTCATAACTGGTGTAATGATTGTGAGAAACTTGTATTGTATAGTATTGTGTTCCAGAAACATTGCAAAACTTCCTTTTGTAAAGTACCTTGAACATGTTCACTACTATGTCGGCAAATTCAGTAATTGCACATTAGCAAGATCACAAAACAGCAATGAAATGAACAGTTGATCTGTTTTGGTGTTGGCTGAGAGAAAAGATATGGTCAGGATACTGAGATAACTCTTTATCGTTCTTCATTTGCTTGCATATTGTTGTAGAGTTCATTATTCTTTGATAATTGTCTGCTCTTTAGCCCAAGACAGTGGAGCACCTCAGATCATGAGACTGGCTAACTCAGTATAGTCTGGGAATGGGACTTTCTAATCTGTATTGCTTACATCGTTACAATCTGAGCCATCATGGAAGTAACCTTTGAGCATCGTCAGAGCCATAGGCACATTACTGGAACATGAGGAAGCACGAAGCAAAACAACTTTTTGACTCACCACCAAGTCTATACATAGCTTAGGTACAATCACTATATCAAAGGGCCACTTAGCTACTAAGGGAATGGGTTAGCAATCAGGAAATTTATTGTTGGATATTAACTTCTAGTATTGTGATGCAGCCAAGATAATCCTCAATAAAAAAAAAGATTGCGTCAGGGACTGCTGCAGATTATGCTGATTGATACTAGCAGGCATATGAAGTGTTAATATGGTTTGTTTTTTTTTTGATTGCACCAATTGCTATTCCTGCTGTCTCATAGCTCTGCACACATGTCACTGCTGATACGAAAACCACACACTGATACACCACGTCTCTTTGAGTAAGACTGTTATTGAGCACCAGTGACTCATGGTCACATGAGCAGCTGTTGTCAATAGCAGCCTTGGGCTCTGTGACTGAGTGTCTTAGAAATGGTACTTCCTGCAGTAACACTACACAAATTATATTAGTGAATACTTTATTCACAAAATATTTCCCTTTGAGATGACAGGTAACCTAAAAAGTGACAAAAGAATTATTTTGTTAGACTGATGCAATATTGCCAAAAGTGGTTATTAGCAAAAAAAGTAACATAAAATTGCTGCAGACAGAAATCAATCTTTTCAGAACACATGCTAGTATCACACTTATTGCTTATGTCTGGTACTCCTTCCCAATTCTTTCCATTTTGGTTATGTGGTAGCAAGGATGTGTTTCGTACTTATTCTCTTAGGATTTGATGCCTGTATCAACAACAAAAAATGTTTGACTTTTTCACTGTGTGTCAGCATCAAACAGTGATTGAAGAGAATTGCATAGATGCCAGTAAGGGGAAGCTAAGTACAAGAGGGAGAAAGGAATAGAAGGACATGGAGACATGGCATAATGAGGAATGAGACTTTTTGGAGTATAAACACGGTATGGACCAATTGAGTTGAATAGTCTGTAAATAAAACTTCAATTTAGGCTATTTGGAGTTAAATTTGCTGACATGGACCTCTGCCTACCCAGTGTAATTTCCTTACACAAATGCATGTTAGAGAGAGGAAACTATAATACTGTCAAGTCAGGAGAGTATCTTGGGATATTAGGTTCATCTCAAAGCCAGCCTCCAGAAGTGAAGGAATTGTTCCAATTCACTGGAATGTTCAGAACCATTGTCTCTCTTTTTAAAGAAAAGCCCCATTTTGTTCTAATTTCTGTATCTCTTTTGTTTTTATCAGTTTTTCATGTTTTAGTCTGCTGAAGGTGCTGCCTCTTCCCGTTATCCCACAATGCTAGTAGTCCACTGTTTCTTTGCCTAAGTGGCAATTTCTCACGCTTGTGTCTTCGCAATGAGTCTATTTGGGCTATGGGGGGCATTACAACAGAGCCCAAAGCAGTCATTGAGGGAACTCTGCTCAATCACATTTATCAACTGATTATTACTTAACAGTGAGTAGGTTGATTTTCCCCTCTGGAGGCTTGAGTTGCATTTATTGTTCCCACAATAGTAATGCCATTACACATCAAGGGGAGATGGTTAGATTCTCTTTCGTTTAAGGAGCCATTACCTGACACTTGTGTAACACAAATATTACTTGCCAATTATCAGCCCAAGCTTGGATGTTGTCCACGTGTGGTTGCACTTGGATTGGGGCTGATCGGACTTTCCCTTCTGGAGGACTGTGCTATATTTAACATTCCTACAACAGCCTGGAAAAATTTAATTAAGCAAAGACTGATCACCTTCGTGGTCAGATTGCAATTCTGTTCAATTCAATAACATTCAGTTAACCACTGAGTCATGACTAGTTCAAACAATTTGATTTTTGATTTTTCTGTTTGGATCATATTGAAAATGGAAATATTAATTCTAAAGAACAACCACTTGCAGCACAGAAGACAACCTTTTGGCTTTTTGTTAGACAAGCTAAAACACAGCTTACCACTTCCAATCACATTGTCTTTTCCACTGTTTCAAATATTAGTCCAATTCATCCATTAGTTAAGCAAATTATTTGGTTGTTCTTGGAATCAATTGTTAAGCAAATAACAGCAGAACCTTTGGAAAATCATAATTTAATCAAACTCAGTCAGCACGGCTTCATGAGGGAGTAATCATGTCTGATAATTTAGTCGAGATTTTCATGGAAGTCTCAACCAGAGTGGATAGAGGGGAACCTGTAGATGTGTTGTATTTGGACTTCCAGATTGTGTTCAACAAGGTACCTCATAAAAGGTTAATTATTTAGAGCCCACAGTGTTAGAGGTAACATATTGGCATGGATAGAAAACTGGCTCATGGGCAGGAAACAGCGAGTGGGGTAAGGGTTCTTTTTCAGGTTAGTAATCCAGTGGGGTTCCACTGTGATCAATACTGGTACTACAACCATTTACAATCAATGCCTTAGAGGAAGGAAACGAATGTACTGTAGCCAAATTTGCAGATGACACAAAAATAAGGGGAAATGCAGGCTGCGAGAGGGATATGCACAGTTTACAGAGAAATACTGATTGATTAAGTAAGTGAGCAAAAAGTTGGAAAATCGAGTATAATGTGGGAAAATACGAAGTTCTTCATTTTTGAAGAGAGAGTAAAAGAACACAATATTATTTAAGTGGAGAAAAACTGCAGAAAGCTGCAACACAAAGGGACTTGGGGTTACTTGTACACGAAACACAAAAAGCTATCACAGGTGCAGCAGGTAGTCAGGAAAGCAATGATGGCATACAGGAACTTATAATCTTTATTTTGATTTCCCTCACGGCAGACATAGTTGATAAACTAAAAAAAAAAGAACTGCGGATGCCGTAAATCAGGAACAAAAACAAAGCTTCTGGAAAAACTCAACAATGGCAGCATCTGTGAAAGAAAAAACAGAGTTAACATTTTGGGTCTGGTGACTCTTCCTCAGAACTGAAGTTACAGATACTTGGGGATGCTCCTTGATAATCAACATGTGAGATGAGCATGAATGGTGTGACAGTGGGTGTGCAGGTAGCTGAAGATCAGGCCTCCTGGGCTTAGGTGAAAGTTTGACAATCATGACAAAGGTGACAAAGGTGAAAGGGGTTACAATCAGCAAAGGGGATGCCAGAGGTGTTCTGGGGAACATTGCTGCTCCTCTTGGATCACAAGGAGTGCTATAAAAAGCACTTAGCATCTGAAAGCAGCAGCTGCCACCTCCACCCCCTTGGGATCTTCTGAGCCCTGGGCAAGTCAGCTAATACCAGTTAATTATAAATCAGACTTTCAATTATATTGTGGGAACCAAGTTAACTATGTTAATGGGGATTCCCTCCTCTCCAAAATAGGATATTTACATGTCTTTCTGCATGCTGTGTACTAATGACAACAGGATTTTGGATTTATTCCTCAATTTTTATGGTTCAAGCCTCCTGTCATGCCTTCTCCTGCACATTGTGGATGTGGGAATTCATATTCCCATAATCCTGTGTTTTCTAACAAGTCTCTTGTTTAATGTTTTCTGACCATCCACATACATTACATGTACATACAGGATTCACCAATCAGCCACTTCTTCAAAAGATTTCTGCTGAATTTATCAAATGCAACTTACTTTTAACAAATTTGTAATTAATATTGGAATAGTTGTCATTGTTGCATGCTTTTTCTTCCTTTTGTGAAATTATTATTTTGTTTGAGTTTTTAGACTGCAGGGGAAATATGAATTTTTTTTATTATTCCTATATTCCGTGGAATTCAAAGCAAAGATAGAATTTAATGCAGGACATACTACCCATGATATCACATTGAGCTCTTCTTTACTGCACTACCATGACAACATTTTCTTCATCACACACAATATAATGATCAGCTACATCACTAAAACATTGCAGAAATTCTTCTATTCTTGTCCAAATATCACCCCAACAACACAAACATAACCTGCATCTAAAATTACAGATCAAATATTTGTAGAAAAAAAATCAATAAATGACAGTATCAACAGAAACCAGGCCAGAACCCTATTGCATATGGCATTTACTGTGCTAACATATGACCATACTGTTCTTGGGTTGCTGAGTCAGACTCACAGAGTCCACAAATACAACAAACCACACGACTGATTCTGAGATCTATCCCTGCAGAAACTGTTGAGGCTCAGCATTATTTTGAAGAAGTTCAAGCCTTTTTATTTTAAATTTCTAAATGGAGCCTTGAATCTGCTTCCAAAATAGTGCAACCAATTGCAGGGAAAGCTGCAGGATAGAACCTACACTAGAACAAATTGATTTTGTATTGTAAAAACCGAAAGAACTGCGGATGCTGTAAATCAGGAACAAAAACAAAGTTGCTGG